TCTTATGTGCAAAGTCAAGACCTCACAAAGTTTGGAATTATTTCTGTCCTTTAGAGGGGGCTCCCATGTTTTATCACAGACACTATTTTCCGCTTCTATACTCACACAAGGATTTATGATGACAACCATTGCTATTTGGAGCATTCCTCAACTTTCTTGAAAAATGAAAGTATAACAAACCACATTTTTGCGTTATTCAAAGCAAATACATTTTCCCCATTTCCTCCAACCACTGAATAATGTGGCAAAATATTGGGAAACATAAAGAGATTTCAGAAAAATGATATGAACAACAGCATAGCAGCACACTGCCCGAAGATCACGGGGGTTTGTTTCCGCCGTCAGGCCGTCTGACAAAACTGTGTCATTAAAATGACTTTCTGTATTTGAAGTTTCCAGGGTACAAAATGTAACCAAGGATTTTTACATTGAAATTGACATGCAAAAAAGGATTTTTTTTGGTTTAAATTAATTTCTAAATATAGCAAAGTACTCATTTGAAGAAAAAGCTGATGTATCACAAACACATGCTAGAAACGATGGCAATGAAATATAGGTTTCCAGAACTAATATGAGATGGAAATTCAGTAAAATCCACACACCACACTGTCTGTATGATTACAGTGTACGCCTGCTCAGAGCAGCAGCTTATCTGCACAATCAAAAGAGAAAAAAAAAAGTTGTGGGCTAATATCTGAGTGAGTTGGACAAACGGATATTAGTTTTCCACAAAGAATGGAACACACCAGTTGCAGATAAAACATTTTTTTCTTCCCTACTTCTTAAAATGGCATTTATCCCACACAAAAGTTTAAATCCAGTTCATTTTTTACATTGATCCAAACCAGATCATGAGCCACTTGATGCTTTTGTAGAGATAAACTTTCATCACGTTTGCTGCCTAACCTTCCTTTAGTTTCATGAGCAGATACAGTAGTTTATTGAAGTTATGCTGTAAACATATTTTTGAAAAATGTTCCCATAAAAGTATATTTTGGCTATTTTAAAATGATATTATGTGAAAAAGGTTTAAAGCATGAACATCCCACTTGTTGTAGATGACTCAGTTAACAATCTCATCTTGGAGGAATGAGTTTATAAAGAACACGACTGACGAGCTAACAAGTAGACTGAACACAGCCAAAACTTAACTCAGATTGTAAAAAGAAATCTAGTGTTTCACGAAAACCCTGTTTGATAGACACTACACAGCAGTCAGATTCCCAGCACATGGTTATTTAGATCAAATTTGAATGCAAGTAGCGATTTCAACATGGAGGTGTAGCTTTTACTGAACGTGTTGGGTCAATTTGGCTGGAATTTCAAAATATTCTGCCAATGCAATGTGATTAAATTATGATGGTGAGGTGATGGAGGTGGAACCCCCCCAGACTTTTAGCCCTTGCATAAGCAAACTTTCTGTTTTATGATTGCAAATAACCACAGAATTCTATGTAAATAATGGTTTTATATAAAATTAATGAAATAGGAATTGCTATTTATAACAAACAGGTAAGGTATTCATTTTTTTAATAAGTTTCCTACAGAATCCCACGGTTAAATCATCAGAATACCCCTTGGCAAAACTGATCTGAAATAATACAGTATGAACATCATCATCATGTCTTCTTAGACTTTTGGTTTCCTGTTCATCTTTGGAGTCATATTCTGTTTGATTTTGTTTGGTTGGTTTTCATATCTTGATTCCCATCATTACTTCATACATCACTTTCTTTTATGATTGTCTACTGTTGTCATCATTCTTTGTTAAAATCAGGTCTCTCTTGTAAATGAGTCCCCGAGTCTCAATGGGATTAACCTGTCTAAATAAAGGTTGAATGAAAAAAAACAAAAAAACAGCAGCTTCAGGTGTTTTTTGTGTGAACTTTTTATATTTAGTTTTGATTTAACCTTATCTTTTTCTTTTTTTATTTTATAAATCATTTTTAATATTAGAACAGGGGTTACAAGAGTGCTTCAAGATACATATTACTGTGTGTTGTACTTGTATCGTTCTTGTACAGCTACATTACACACGTGACAAACGAACTGTGAATTTTGAATCTCTGTTAAAATTAAAATGACAGAGATAAGAGCAAAAATGCCTGTTTTACTTTCACTTACACATTAATATTATAATACAGTAGTCCCTCACTACTTTGCGTTCTATCGCGGCTTTTCAAAATAAGATTGGACATGACACACAATTGACTGATTGATGGATGAGACGCACGATTGGCTTGGAATTTTTATTTAAAATAAATTATTTTAAATTAGTTAGCACCTGCTGCCCTTCTGTGCAGCCCATACTGCAGGATAAACTTCCTGCTGCAGCTGATCAGCTGTTCACCATGCAGAGCGGATAAGTGGGCGTGGCCAAGAGCGCTTGCAGGAGGCAAAGAGCAGAGGAGGCAGGGCGCTGAAATCATGACATTCTGTGCTCTTAGAGAATTTAGAGTTTAGAAACATTGTTTAGAATATTGCAAGAGTGTAGGATGGGTTCAAAACGCCTTTATTTTAGGGGTGTAACGTACACGTGGGTGTATTGAACAGTTTCGGTATGGCATGTTCAGTTTGGTCCACGTGTGTACCGTTTTGGTTATTTTTTCACTCATTAAATTTTATTAACAAGAGATTATGTGCCGCTGAACTAAAATTCCTAAGCGTGTTTCAGCATGGCGCTATTATCTTACAGCATGCGCAGCATTAGCAGCCTAGCATCTCGTTGCGGTCTCCTGTTTGGGAACATTATGGCTTTCTTGTTAAAAGACAAGCGCAGATCCAAAGCTGTGTGTCGACGTTGTTTCATGGAGATTGGATCTGCAGCAGCAACACGTCTAACTTGTTAACGCACTAGAAACAACATCATCCGAACATGAATGTCTCCTCTACAGAATAGCAGCTTGGTTGGTTCAAAGACTGATAACAGCAGCATTTAAACAACATTTATCAGGTCATTCAGATCGGTCCAAAGCAATAACACAAGCTGTAGGAGTTTTTAAAGCTCTGGATCTATGTTTCTGTTGTTGATGCGCTGGCTTTAAAGTTATTGAGCCCTGCTGCCTACAACATCCCATCACATCAACACTTCAGCCAAATAGTTGTAGCAGCACTTTATAATAAAGCTAAAACTGATATTGTCGACAAGCCTTGGACCAGATTAAAGTCCTGCCCTGATGATGATAAACAAGAGATTCAACCACCTCATAACAAATGATGACCGTTCAAGAAGAAGTATTGTCATTTTGTTATTATTATCTAATTAACTTTTTTATTTACAATTATAATCTTATTAACTCATTTTTTTACCTCTTTGTGTTTTATTCCCAGTCTGGGACAGAGGTAGCAGCTGAGTCTTCTTCCTCTTCAGGGAAATCAGAGATCACCTCCAGCTAAGAAGTCTGTGATGACTGAACTCTGAACTTTTCCAAGAGGTTGTGAGTAATGAGGCCAAATGCAGCCACACTGCAAAATTAGCAAAGCTCTACCTCTTTATTCCTGCTACTGTTGTTAGTGAGCAGTTTTCACCACTGCTGGAGATAATGTCGCTGCAACTAGGTCTGTTGGTCTTTTTGGCCAAAAACTTAAAACGTGATTAGTTTGATTGTAAACAGTCTGTTGCTGCTTAATGTTCTGGTTCTGACTGTTATTGTATTTATTAAGATTTTTATATTGTTAGTATAGTTTATTTATTGTAAAGAGTGCCGTTTATTTTAAATATCATCCAAATGGGTCACTTTTTTGTATTTTTATACAAACTTAGTGTTTACTTGGCATATTTTCAAAATAAACGTTTTGTAAGTCTTCGTTTTGTCTTTTTTTGTACCGAAAATGAACCGAACCGAAATGTGATTTTAGCGTACCGTTACACCCCTACTTTATATATATGTATAAGAAACCTATTTACTACTTGTACTACTATTTCTACTTTGCAGCTTTCACTTACCGTGGGGCTTCAGGGTACGGATCCCCCGTGATAAACGAGGGACTACTGTACTTAAAGACTTTCTTGAACTGTTGCACTCTGAGGTTGGGGTGTTATGAATCAATTCATCGGTTGATGTGCCTCACCTCTGGTGACCGGTACGTCCTGCAGACCTGTGGCTAGACAAAGTGGAAATACCGTGCTGCAGGGCTACTGAATTGGCTGAACAATGAGAGGAAACTGTGTGTGGAATGAATGAAATCTTCTCTCTCTGCCATTTTCTGACTTTAGACAAGCACTTGACAAAGTTTCTATGCAAAAGCCAAGCAGACTGCATCAGCTTCAATGGTTATTTATTGCAGTCGGAGTCCCAGTGAGATGTCTTTATGTGGACACAGTGCATCATGTTACCAGTGGAGATGATTTTTCAGCTGGCCTGGTTTGGCCTAAGGACGAGTTCAAGTATTTCATAGAATCTCTGCGGTATTAGAACTGTGGGGTTTTTTTGGGTTTTTTTTTTTAACAGAACCACCTCTTTGCTTGCCATCTCCATTCAGTTCCTCATTCATTTATTTTCCAGTTTTTACTTGTCATCATCCCTCGCTCAATAAAAATTCGTAGTCGCTATGAGCTTTGGGTCAAAGTTGGAACGTGTGAGTAACAGTGCACCTTTCTCTGTGAGCTGCTTTAGAGAAGACAGCAGCAGTGCATGAGTTGGTTTCAGGTTCTGCCGTGTGGAGATGTCACTGTAAACAACAGCAGAGCCTCAATGTGACTGATGAACTGCAGACAATCAAGTGTAGCTCGTGCCATCAGGACTTTCAGTCTTCATTCAGCAGCTTGACAGCAAACAAACCGCACAGTCCTCCACATTTCCTGTATGCTAACTGGTAACACATCTGTGTGACTCTATCGTGCAAAAATGTTATAAAACAACCTGGACTGACCGAGTATAACTTTTATCTCAGTTCAACTATCACTCTTCATAAGAGGATTTTTACTAATTCCTATGTCCTGAGATGTCACTTGTTTATTTTCTCATCATTTGGCTCTTTTATCTTCCTTGTTCCAACAGGAAAGCTGGCTTGATTCTCTCCCAGCTCGATGAACTCTCCCCGTGGTGTAAAGGTCTCCTTCAGGAGCCAAAGATCGGTCTTCGCAGGATGTCCCTCAAGTTCCTTTCCTGCCGTTACACCGACACCAAAGTGTTTGGGCTCAACTGGCCTGAGATGGGCCAGGATGTACAAAAGGCCTGTGATGAACAGACACTTGCTGTCATGTATAATGATTATGGTGAGCCCAAGGAGCTCTAAAGATTTGGATCTAAGTTTGAATCCAAGCAGAACCCCACATCCTTTAGAGGGAAAAAAAAATCTTGGTTTTGCCTACCTTGGTCAAATATTTTCCATCAAATTATATTCCTAAAACTAAATGCTAATCGGCATGAAATGTTTTGATACACATCAACATCTGGAGTGAAACACGGGTCATCTTTTATAAAGTATCTGCAAAAAAAAAAAAAAAGAAAACCAAAACAGTTTTGCTGAACAACCATGGAGGGCTTTCCACACTAGAATATTTTTGTGATTACACAAAATATGTTTTTGTTACAGCCTTGCGTCCACATAGAAACAACATTTTAGGAGTGATGTTTTTTTTAAAACAGGCTCGAGTGAAAAAAATTTTTTTTTGAAACACCACCCATGCATTTTTGTGTGGACAGCAAAAATGCAATTATTTGAAAACACTGGTGTTAAAGTCCCCCCTCTAATCTGACCTATGAAATAAGCATCCTATTTTGTTGGATTTTAAATTTTCCCCAATAATTTATGTGAAAACTTTCCACTTTGTTTCCTTAATACTCTTTGTTGTTTTCAGTGTTTCCATGTGAATGAGGATGTTTCTAGAAACGGTGCCGAAGTTCATGAGGGAGGTTTTTAGAAACAACAAATGAAAGGATCTTTTCTGTCTGGCCAATTAAAAGGATTTTTGAGATTGTTTTAAGCAAAAACTGAACTGTATCAACATTTAAGGCATTAATCCGTACTAATTCTAAAAGTAAGAGGCTTCTGAACACTTTTTAAAGTACAAGTGTTTTTGCATAAGATTAAAATTCTCAAATTAAATTGCATTTAGTCCATTTTATGATTTGAATCCACCTAAATGAAATAATTAAGACATTGAATTATGATTTTTTTTTTTTTTTTTTTTACTTTGATTAGTTTAATTACCTTTCTATAACTGCACAAAACAATGCATTTTTCATGGTGAAAAGTTCAGGATCTGTCAGGTTGTGCCTGTTAAAACAGAGCGTACAAGCTCTTTGTGTCTCTGAAGCAGACCACATGCAGATGGAAAGCTGCATCACAGAAAAGCAAAACAAATAAAGTAGAATTCATCCATATAAACAGAGGAGGGAGGGCTTCCTGGGATTTATTTTAGTAGTTTAGAAATTTAAAAAAGAAATGTACATAATACTGTCACACAGTTTTAGCAACAATCTATAACCTGCTGAATGTAGTGTTGGTAATTTGCATTTAGAGATGAAGTCGTAAACATCTTTGACAAAATAACAAGAATCCAAGACACACCAGTTTACTGATCGTTTCTATGGTAATGTGCTTGTTTCTAATCTTGTCACATGATTAAAACATCTGTTGAGTTTAAATAATCATAATTCTGTACTTAAACATCAACACAGAAGTTTTTGACCGCAACTGCAAGTTTAAACTTCATGGGTTAGGGTTAGAACAAGTAAGATTTTGCTTGTTGCTAGTTCTTTGAAAAGCCTCAGACTAGGGAATGAACTTTAAATTCTAATCCGACTGACAAGCAAATGGCTAGTCTGAGGCCAAGATCAAAGTGGACTCCTGTCATCTCTCAACCTCAGATATTTTATAGCGGCTCTATGAACACTGTTTTCTAAATGTTCTTGTTACTGTCAGATATGTTTTACATGGTTCTTCCAGCAGAGACTATGATATTCCTTCAGGAAGTGCTACAGCTAGCTGCTACTGTTTGCTTTAGCAAACATATAGAATATTTAATCAGAATAACTGATATAAAATACAAAGTATCATTCACATGAACCACTTTAACTTTTTTAGATTGAAGTTACTGTTACCACAAATTTAACAGCAATCCACTTTGGTCTTGACCTCAGTCAGAATTAGTCGCTTGCATCTAGATTTAAACTTTGTCTTCAAACCTAGGTTGAGCTATCTACAACAGGTAGGATAATAACATACATCTTTTTCACGTCACGTCACATAAAGATCTGAACTTTCACTTTAATTTGTGATGTCATATTGTCTTTTTGCAGTTGCCATATTGACTGCTGGTGTCAGATAAATGCAAATGTATAAATATTTAGCTGTGTTTTTTTATGTGGATTCTAACCTAAATGCTTGTACATTTTGTATAGGCAGAAAAGTATTACGTAAAATCATCACATAGTATTTGACTCCTGTACATAAATATACATGTGGTGATATTTTACAGCATTGATGTCTGCTTTAGTAACTACAATATTGTATTGTGCTGTGTATTGTAGCCTTTGCAAAGTAAATGCACTGATTCTGATCCTAATGTGAATGATCTGATTGGGATGTGAGGACACAGACTTTTGACGTTGAAGTGAACAACAGTAACGAGACAAAATATATGTTTTATGATTTGAAAACAATCTGCATGATACACTGTCTGTGTTTGTCATGATCTTGACTTTTTTACTTTGATCTTTGGTACATCCGAAACACAGAGAGGACATTAAGAAGCGTGACTGTTTCGGCCCGCTTGGAGCCTTCTGATGACATTTCTACTTGTTTGTTTGCGCACTAATTGCTATTGAATTAGTTAATTTGTGTTTCTCCATTACTTATTCCTGCCCGTGCAGCTGTGGTCTCTTGGAAAAGAACTGTTGTCCAAATGTTTAATTAAAATAAATTAACCCATTTAAAATCTGTAAAGTCTCTGCATCATTCATATGTCATTGTGTGTTTGCTTGTGTTCGTTTGTCTTAGCAGATGGTTGCCTATAAAGTATTTTAGTGAGTTATTATTGGATGTACATCTAACTGATTAACTTAGAGTGAACTTTGTTCAAGATGGCTGCACTGCTATTCAACCACAAACAAAAATGCCATGAAGGTAGCTTTAGTTCAATCAGTACTTTTACAAAACACTTTAAACCAGGACTGAGACACCTTCTGACTGTCTCGCTGTTATTTCAGAATGGACCAAGTCGGAAGCCAACTTACAGCTAGCGTGCCTTTGTCCCACCAAGAGGTAGTAACAGAGCCGTAACAGTTGACCTGTTATTCTGTAATCCAGATTTGCGGTACAGAGTAGAAAACGTTGGTTACGTACTGTAACCCCAGATTCTATGAATATAGGCGTAGCCCTTTAAGAGCTGTCGCTTAGTGGGTTTATCCCGTTATGCGCAAGCATCATACTGAAAAAATTAGTCCACGCCCACCTGCTGTGTGGGCCCCACCCGATCCGTATAAATTACATTAAGAGCGGGTAATCTGCTCCCAAATAGCTTATTCTTTTCTTCAGCTATTCAGGAGCCAGTGAGGCCCGACGCTTAAAGGGCTACGCCTATATTCATAGAATCTGGGGTTACAGTACGTAACCAACGTTCTATTTCATATAGGCTTCGCCCTTTAAGAGCTGTCGCTTAGTGGGTTAAGGGCGAAGCGGATGTGGTCCTCGCCTCACTGGGTCCATTCGAACATAGTAAGAAACGGAAGCTTGCCCAAAAAACGTCTTGTCACTCAGCTCCCCATGTGCATAACTACGCATCGCGTAATTGTGTGCCATGCACGCATTGAACGCCGCATGTTGTGTAACTATGCGTTCTGACCAAGCATGAATGCCCCGGAAAAAAACTTTCAACGGGGGAAGATGTTGAAAAGAGGAGGGGGGGGGGGGGGGCATGAAGCAACTGATTCATGATTGAACAGTATAAACAGATTAATATCAATGAACTGATTATTGAACAAATGAACTGATTGGTAACCATAGTCATGAACTGATTAGTGACAATAGAACCAAAATCACAAACACAACTTGTGACTGATAACAACATCTCACACTGTGAAGCATGCAGACAGATGTGAGCTTAAACAGAGTTCCATGAAGAAAACAACAGTATTCATTCTGTTAGAGCACTAAGGACAGAATGTGTCATGGAACGAGCCGTTACATCACGTAGGTAAAAGCGAATAAATGAGCAGGGTGTTGACCATGCAGCCGCAGTGCAAATGTCCTGCATTGACATACCATTATGCAGAGCAGTCGAAGATGCGATACCCCTGGTTGAGTGTGCTTTGAGTTTGACAGGAGGCTCTAGATCTGATGCTCTGTAGGCTTCAGAAATGGCCTCACACAGCCAGTGTGCCGAGCGCTGGATGGATAACGGGCGGCCTGCAGATGCATCTCTATAATGCACAAACAATTGTTGAGTTTGACGCATTGCAGCTGTGCGCGCTATGTAGCACGATAACGCCCGCACCGGGCAGAGAAGATGAAAAGATGCTTCTTCTTCTGATCTGTGGGGGGGAGGGAAGAATCCCTCCAACGATATCTGTCTCGATTTAAAAGAGCTCGTGATGTTTTTAGGCATAAAGGCTGGGTTTGGTCTTAAATCAGCTGAACTACCATCAGCCTGGATTCTGAGACATGACGGAGCGGCAGAGAGGGCCGATAAATCACTCACCCTCTTAGCGGATGTTAAAGCCAGCAGCAGGGCTGTTTTAAGAGACAAGAATTTAAGTGAAACCTGATCCAGAGGTTCAAATGGAGCTTTGATCAGGGCTCGCAGGACCAGTGTTAAATCCCACTGTGGAACGAGTGGGCGTGAAACCGGCCTATGTCTTTGTACACCTTTTAGAAACCGCTTCATCAGCGGGTGATTAAAAGCTGTTCTGTCTCCGAACCCTTCGTGGCAGGAAGAGATGGCTGCAGCGTACGTTTTAATCGTGCTGAATGCCAACTCCCTATCCATCAGCTGTTGAAGAAAGGACAGCACGCCACCTAATGGACATGAGGTGGCCTCCAGACCTTTCTCTGTACACCAGCGCTGAAAGGCCGTCCACTTTGATGTGTACAGGGCTGTGGTAGATGCAGCGCGTGAATCTTGAATTGTGCGCACTACCTCCTGAGGGAGACCCATCTTCTCTAAGCGGGACCGCTCAGCGGCCAGACCCACAAGTGCTGGCCTATTTCCGGGTAACTCCTGATCGCTCCTCCTGCTTGAAGGAGAGCATCTTCCCTCCATGGCAGTTTCCACGGACGACCCGACAACAGACGTTGCAGGACTGGGAACCATGGTGCGTTCACGCGCTCGGGAGCTACCAGGAGAGCTGTCAATCCTTCCTCCTGAACTCGGTTCAGGAACCGTAAAATCAGAGGGGGAGGGGGGAACGCGTACAGAAGCGTTTTGGGCCACGGGCTGTGGGCAAATGCATCCACCCCCAGTGGTGGATCGTCTCGTGGGCTCAGGGAAAACCATAATTGGCACTGAGCGTTCTCTCGCGTCGCAAACAGGTCCACAGCTGCTTTGCCAAACTTCTGCCACGTCTGAAACATCAGGTCTGGATGGAGGGTCCAGTCCGCGTGACGTGGGCCGCCCCTGGACATCACATCTGCTCCTCTGTTCAGAACGCCGGGTATGTAGACCGCTCTGATGGAAA